GTACTATACCTGTTCCAGTCTCCAAACTTAACAGAAATTTGAAGTTGAAAATAAACAATGATAAGAAAAATAGAAAGTATTCAGCTCGTAAAGTACAGAAATTAGATGGTCTATTTTCTGTCAGGAACTAATCTTTCCATATTCTTGAGAACAAGAACAAGCAAGTTAAACTATAATATTATTGTTATTTGTCCCTTTAGCTCCTAGTGGGAAATAGGGCTTCAGTAGCACATCTTCATTCCACTCCGCCCTCTGCAATCTTTTCAACCTGGCTCTACGACTGCCCAGAAGCTCTCATTTCTTCCTCACACGATCTCCTCCATGTCACCCTCGGACACCCAGCTAACCGTTTCCCATCTGGGTTCTACTCGAGTGCCTGGCACGTGATGTCCCTGAGTGGTCTTCTCAGAGTGTACCCAATCTATCTCCACTTCCTTTTGCATATTTGTTGAGCAATAGGTTCTTGCTTTGTTGGTTTGTTTCAGGTTAGAGTTCCTTGTTGCTTATTCTCATTATTCTGGCCATCTGATTTTCAGTATCGAGTGAACGAGCGTAGGCGGCAGCCGTTGATGTGATGTACGTCTGAAGTTTTTTTGGAAATGCTTTTTATGACGCGCCAAGTCTCTCAACCATCACATAGGAGCACTGACTTGACATTAGTGTTGAAAATCCTGATCTTGTTCTTTATGCTGAGTGCAGAAGATCTCCACACTGGCTTCAAGTTAATGAACACCTGTTTTGCTGTCTTTCCGATCCTGGCTTTGATGTTCTTGTCTGTACCGCCTGTAGTGCAAACGATGCTGCCTAGATAGGTGAAAGAGGCAACTTCATTTAGGTTTCTGCCGTTGATAATGACCTGAGCTTGTTGTTGTTGTTGTTGTTGGTGGTGGTGGCGTATCTGCATCACCTCGGTCTTCTCTACATTTGCTTGAGGTCCCGTCTTCGCTGCCCTGCCTTTTCTGTCAAATTGTTAGTTTTTGCCTGTAGATCTTCAGGTCTGTGTGTGTGACATTAGACACAAGTCATCGGCGAAATCCAAATATTCTAGGGTCTTTTCATTGCTATCATGATCGTGGAGGAGATTGGTTCCCAATGCATGACAGCCTTCAGTGCTCTTGGGACATCATGATAGCCATTCCAAAACTCAGTATACTCGTGGTTGTCATCTGAGTGACAATATCGGAGTAGATTATTGACTGCTTTCCAGTTGACAGTTTTGAGAGTCCACTTCCATTCCATCTACTTTCGCAGATTCCTACCACTTCTATGCTATACCTCCTAGTCTCTTTTGCAATCTGGGCAGCCTAGCTAGGCTCAACCATACTGCGGACACTCCATGTCCTTATGTTTATTTCGCTTTCATCGAGAGATGGGAGCACACAACAGCCAATTGGCTTCCTGAAGGCTTTCACCTACCGGCGTCATTTTGTCTCTCCGATTCCAGCGAGGAATAAGTTTGTTTTTATTTTTTATATTTTCTTTTTGATTTGAAGTTTTTTTCTAGCTGTTGGGTTGGTTTTCTGGGGTAGGGTTGCAAGCCCTATGCCCAACCTTTTTTCTTTATCCGGGCTTATGATGGGCTAGTAACTAGTGAATTAGTTAACCAGGCAAGGTTATTCTATGTTTTAAACGAACTGAACTGAAACCACCTTTAGGGCCATTTTGCCGAGTATACTTCCACGAACTATAGACTGTTTTGTTTTGGAAGCTCTTTAAAGAATTTAAAAAAAATGTATTACCTTCATTGTCATATTTCTTATTGTTTTTCCCCTTTTAAATACCATTACTGCAAAAAGCAATCGATACAGCGAAGCAAATTCCAATGCCTATATCAATTAGGCATTGAGCAAGCTTATTCATAGGAAGATTGAACGATGCTGAGAAATGGAGTTAAATCACTTATTGTATTTCATGAATTTGTAGTATTCTGGTTTATTTATAAATGCAAACATTTAACCTCCTTCCATCCCGCCGCGATGCTGCTGCTGATGGTGATATTGTTTGTGGGAACAATTCAACTTCATCATCAACTGAGTCATATAATTTGAAAGTTTACCTAATTACAAGAAATGAACAAACAGTTAAATTAGAAAATATTATTAACCAGTTAAATTCAACCAACTCGGAACAATAAGATAATATTATATATCCGATCATTAACTACGATAAGGAGAAAAACGATATCAATCATTTGTGTGAAGTACAATCAATCGATGGATTGTGTGTAAGGGAAATACAATTCACAGGAAAACCAGTTAAGAAAAATGGTAACATTTTCCTGTTATATCTCACTCTGATTTGTAGAGTATTAAATAAATAAACTAGAAACTTTTAAATTCATTTAATTAAGAAATAATGAAAAAGTGACCTATTGGACGATAATTTCCGCCATGAAGTATAACCAATGAAAGGTCTCTTAAGATCTCATCTATGTTTTTGACATATTCACCTTGATAATTGAGAATCTTGATTACCATTCCAAATGAAGTCATGAATGATTACTACAGACAATATAAGGTATCATCATATACATAAAACAAGTTAGACTAAAAAAAGTAATCGACATGAACAATGACGATTCCATGTAGGGAAGGCAATATCAGAACAAATGCAAAGAACTTATATTAAGTACGGTATTAAATTCTATTTCAAAACTTCAAATTTTTCGGAACAAGCCTTATTCAAAGTGAAAGATGTAGTTCCAAATGTGAAACGAAACTGTGTACACAAGATTAAATATATGGATTGTGAGGCCAAGTATTTTGGTGAAAGTTATAGACAGCTGTACATTAGAGTGAATGCACATAAGTTATGTAGCAAACACCCATCAAAGAATGAAGTAGAATTGAAAAGTTTGAAACTCAAACATAATTTAGATAAAGCGAATATAACAAATGCAACAGGATGGTATGAACTCATCTTATTTCATGGACTCTCATCAGATGGAAGTGACAGAAAGCAACCTATTCAGCAAAATTTATGTGAGTATGTACCTGATTCGATTCAACAAACGATATGTCAGTTGAAGAGACAACCAAAATGGACGCCGTTTAATGAGAACTAGTAAGAGCTCATAAAGACTGGTCGCAATTTTATCTGTTCATTGTTAGGAGCTAAAATAACTGATAAAGATGAGGCATAAGCGAAGAGAATTAGGGAAGAGAAAAGACAAACAGTTTAGTAAAAGGAATTGAAATGATACAGATGGAAAAGTGGTTCGGTAAGTTTGATGCATTCCTCTGTTCAGGGAAAGAGAGAATGTCTTCCATTGTATAAGGGTAATAAAGGCCTTAAAAGCAAGAAGAGTTCAAAATATACTGATTCACTTGTTATTCTTGTTCATTTTAGATCACCGAATTTAGCGCAACACTAATGGCCTCATATTGTGCCAGTAGTAGTAGGTTACAAGTGGTATGAATTAAATTGTGACGAAATTGAAATAAAGTTTGCTTTTTTATTATAAGAAGATAGCAGTAATATCTTAACAAACGTTTATGCCAAACCGTCCTTCTTCAAGGTGTGTTTGCATAAAATCTATACTATTCGTTCATGTTTTATGGGATAGCATTGTAAAATCTAGCCGAAAATATAATGCATAACTGAGAAGAGTAATTCTGAAAGGACATGTAACGACTAGCTGTTCATGCCTTTTCGTATAGCCTGTAGGTAGGTACGCAGGTAGGTACGTTGTTGTAGAGGATAGATTATTGTGAGTTAAGTGGTGGCCACGAGAATCTAGAAAGGAAAAAGGTGAGCCGACAACTCAGCAAGTACATATGATGTACTTACATTTAATAATGAGGGATAACTGACAAAAGGTTGAGCTGGACAGCAAAGAGGTGGGGCAATCTAGAAATCGGAACTTGAAGGTGAATGAGTAAGATTTCGAACACGTTACAGATGCATCATGCGTAATAGCCATTTTGAAAAGACGCGGTTATATTTCCTTAAAATACAATGTTTTCACATTCAAAAGGTTACTTTCTTCGGCGATCAGAAATGATCAGTTTTAAAACTAGGAGATTTCGTAATCTTCATTCTCAGATTACTTCGCGATATCTATAGCTGCTTAGTTTCAACCATACAGAAAATATGAACTTCCTTATAGTGCTCCTTTTGGTAACTGAAGACAACAGCTCGAGTCTCCATACATTTTAGTCCACAATCGATCTCGCTTGTGTAAATTCATGAGGATATCTTCATCCGAACCGTTATCCAACATTCCCTAATTTTATCTACCCCATCTTTTCATCGTTTAGATTCTACTGCGTCTTATGCTGTAGCCGTTTTGTCTTGATTTGTTTATTTGATGTGTGACAACTTGAACTACCGAATTCATCTTCATGTGAAGTGATAATATTAGCTTACTGAAAGTGAAGTTAGAATTTTTCGACAAATAAAAATGTTATCAGTTTGAATATCTGAGATAACCAAGGTTTGGGAGACTTGGATTTCTATTGAGTGATGACTGAAGATGAGATGAAAATCTAGGCCATGGTAGGATCCAAAAGATTGAGCGTTAAGTTGAGAAGTGAAAGCTGAATTTCATGTACTGTCACATATAAGCGTAATTCAGCATAAATCCTTGAATTTATTTTCTGTAGACGCTTTCCTGAATAAATGATAACGAAGGTATACACGAAACTTCATGAAATGATGCTTTATTCGATGCTTTATTGGTATTAGATAGGTGCATATCGATAAGCCTCGGACAGAAGCAGGAGTCCTGAACACCATAAAGTTACTGAAAGCCGGGAAAGCAGCAGGACCTCAGCCTCATCGGCTTTGAAAAGGCCTTCGATAGCGTCGACCTAGAAGTAATTTGGCAGTCATGGAGGCAGGTTCAAAAGACTACAGAAAACAGAGTTAAATGGCGACATGCTACTGAAGCCCTGTGTTCCACTAGGAACCCAAAGGAACAAATAATGATAACAGTAATAATAATAATATTGATAAGAGTATTTAAACAACATCTGGATTCGAATTTGAGAATCAATAATGCATTCAGTGGATTTGGACACACATGACAGGAGTGAAGAATTTTCGTGCTCCCTATACAATTACATTTGACATAAACTAAGAATTCTTTGTGTTTTATAAAACTTATGCATAAAATAATATAATCTTGTAACAAAATCATCAAGAAGATAATAACATGAGTGATAAACAAAATTTTTTCACAGCTTCAGTTGGATCAAATAACACTGTAGATTATAAGGCGAGTTATTTGCAGTGTTTTGGTGGTAGACATGCAGGACAAGCATTAATAAATAAATATGCAAATTGTGTTGCCAATTCTTTTGGAATTAATTTTGATGCAGTTAATCGACAAGTGGCACCCATCGAATACAATATAGGATGTAATGCTTCTAATTCAGAATTGAATAAACTAACGTCAACACTATGTGGTCAGTTAAATGTAGGTATTAATGAACAAGCTGTTAGGCTGAAACTACGATCTGAGGTACCACATTTAACAAGGAAAGATACCAATCAGTAAGTTATTATAGTGCACATAATTATATTTCGATATGTAGTTCCATAGTGAAGTTCAAGATCTCATGTATTCTTCGTGTCCTATGAACCATTAAGACATTCTTTTCACTTCAAATGTACAGGAAATTTGTACGCTTACTTATATCCTATAAGTTTCAGAACAAATTATCATCTGATGCTCATAAAATATCTCATTTGTCTAATACTTGCTGACTGACTGTGTACATATGAAATCTAGAAATGGAATTTTGAAAACAAATTATGAGGTTATGAACAAGAAAAAAGTAAAATATTTTGAAGACTTGTCATTCATTGAAATAAATAGTACTACTGACAAGCTTTAAGTAGCAGCTTTAAATCACTTTTGAATTTGATATCTCTCAGGAAATCCACAAGTGTATAAGATCATTTCTTTCTTCTTCACTGTAAAAGTTCAGAGAATAATATATCTAAAAAAAGTAGTATACTTAACATACCTCTTTGGAATAGGAAAATTTCCTGGCCAATAAACTAAATCATTAGTTATCAAAATAAATACTGAAACCACATGTTTTTACATCTGTGTGAGATATATGATGCTGAGGTAAGAAGATGATATAGTAGCCAGCAGTTTACAGTCACATCAAGATGCCTTTATACAGTGAATATTCACTGAAATTTGTGTTCAGGGTTAGTATAAGACGGCTGATGAAGTTGAGAACCTTAATGAACGTCGGTGGCCTGAAAGTTTGTTAGTTATATTGAGTCTGCTCTCACCACATCATGCAGTGTTAACCCAGCTTTGAAGAGGTTGAAAGAAGTCTTAGGGAAGTCAGACTGAGGTGGATAACTTGTCCATTTAGCTTTTGATTGTTGTTCTGAGCCTCTTAGGGAGGCAAAAGTTGTCTGACTGAGTCTTCAGTATATTTTTCTTTCGACAAAAAGTTAACCGAAATGGTATTTCAAAAAGATTTTTATACCGCAAAATCTCACGATAAATACTCATTAAATATTCCAGATGAAGATTACTACATTCCACTAGTCCTCGAGTTGCACTTTCCAATTCAAAATCATTCATAAATAATGAAGTTATTTGTCATTAAACTCAAATTACTTTATAATTCAACTGTTTGCAAGAGGTTGATCAAATGAGAGGAACCAGACTGAAATAAGACAGATATTCATTACAAAATAGTTTATTATGGGAAATATATCTAAGTAATAACTTATGACTCATTAGAGAATGGTTTTATGATGAGTTTACTGAATTTCCAATCAACAACTTTGTATGATCAGCTGTTACGAATACTTGATATTTTAACAAGGTCATGGTATGAAGGATGAATAACACAGACTAAATTATTGAAACCAAATATATTTCATTTAAAAGTTTTGAATTTATACTTTTCTGAAGATTTATACACTCGAACGAAACTACTGTTAATTTTCAACTACTTGTCTTTAGTTTTTTTTTAGTTTATGTCAGTTTGTAAATACAAAACTGGAGGTGAGTCAAAAGGCAGTATGCAGCAGTGATCACTTTGTTTTGCTTCATTGTTTAGATTAAGACTACCTTTCTATGAAATACTTTTCCAAGAATTATTACAAAATGGATATCATTATGCATTCACGGAGTTATTCAATTTATATAAACGTCAGGATGAGGATAGACGAAAAGCTGGACCAGAATCTACTTTATGGTTTATACCACCATTATCGGAACAACACGAAAAATTACGTTTATTAGCTGAATATTTGGTGATTGCAGAGGCTGCATCACGACGTGTAGATGATGTTACAGAGTGTAATGCTTACCTTATGCTTGGCTTAGCACTACGTGATAATCCAGATGACTTGTTGGTTGCTGAATACTTTCTGCATCTTGCATTAATTATAGCTGAAAGAATAAAAGATGATGGTGGTTTAAAGTTGGCAATGACTAATGAATACTATGGTGTGGTATTACAAAGTCAAGGTAAGTAGGTTTTGACCTTGAACTCGACCCTTTTTCATAACACATTTATTATTGCAATATTTGTCAACAAATAGGCAAAAAAGTGAATTATGGTAGGTGTTTAGGTGGTACATCTGAAGTTTAACTCAGACGTAAGTAATGCGTGAAAGGTAGTGAAAAACTCAAGAAAAAACCAAAAACTCTTTGTTACTGAGCTGTTGATTCGTTTACTACATCCAACCTAAGTATTCACTCTTTAAAGGTGAAAGCAACTGAAGTTGAATATTCTCCTTGAACCACTCAAGTTAAGCAGATATATGTGCTTCTGAAAGGTTTCCTCTTATCTTTATTATTATTGAGGTGTGATTCATTTAACTTTTTATATTCCTAATATATAAAATAATCCTGACTCTTCATTCTCCAGGATATTTTTGTAGCTTCCTGTTAAGCTCATCTTAATGTTTACTATTTACCTGTAATCCTTCTCCTATTTTACATCAATATTTCCCTACTTTTGTTGATTTCCTGTTACTATGTTATCATATACTACGGGAATTGGAATTAGTACATGGAATGATCATCAGAAGGTTACCAATATTATGTTGTCTACCTCAAAGTGCTGATTTAATTCTATTGATCACTTCATGATGTCGCCACCAGGTTAAGAAGCTCACCATCTTCATGCACAGTAATCTATGTTAGCTGGAATCAGTATGCTTCTACGTGTCGTTATGAGTTATTAAATCGATAAATGCCTTTTATCACAATAACTACATGTATTTATGATGTCAGTTTACACTTATTTCAGTGTTTATTTGAGTTTTCAGTAGTATTGCATGAAGTGAGTAGTAGTGGTATAAACAGTAGTATTAGTGTTAGAAATAAGAAGGAGGAGGGAATGGATTATTATTATGACGTCTTGTACAGTTGTGATGAAATAATGTACACCTTCCACTAAGACAGTCATCTGCATAATGTGCTTCACTTCCTCTTCTGCTTCTATCACGAGTTGCTCTTAATACGCTCAGATTGTCTCTTGCGTTCCTCTGGGCAGAATATTTACGCATCACTAGTAATTGCCTATGACTTCTGTCGACCTCTCAACATATACTACTTATATCCATCCTTATCAGTAGAACCCACTACAATAATAGTAGTAGAACTAGGGAGTACGGATACTAGATTCACGATTCAAATTTTGAAACAACAAAACACTCCATGTTCAAACTTATGGTTTGCCAAAATAAACCTCATAGGTAGTTAGGGTCTATGTATATGACAAAATGGATAAATCATCACTTTTATTGGATTCAGCAAGTCAACTGAGTTTTGAGTAGGTTTTTTGTAAAATATTATCACGTCTTTTTCACGCACCTGAGCACGCTAGTGAATTTTTTACTTAAACAAGATTTTCGCTTAATTGTCCAAAACCTTTCTCTTTTCATCTCCACTAAATGACTTCTGCCATGAATTCATCATGGTCTAAATGAAAATAAACGTCTATTTGATGATGATCACCTTTTTAAGCTACTGTCTACTAGGATACTGTCTCATAAGCTGTAATATACACAATAACTGCTTGTTTCTTTTTCATAATTGCCATTTCAGGTGAATACTTGAAGGCGCTAAACTGTTTTCAAAAATTCTATATTCTGACTAGAGAAAAACAATGGACAAATGAAAATGGTGAATTACTCAGTCAACTTGCTACAAGTTATTTGGTTAAAAATTATTATTATTTAATTGACAACTATGATCCAACCTATTATTCAGATAGAATCAATTATTGCAAAAATGCTTTAGATATAGCTATTCAAAGTAATTCAAGATTATTGTTCTTGCTACTCTGAATTATTTGTCAATTAATTTCATACGAGGTTATTTTAAATTATCATTTACTTTACTATACATTTCATCAGTTTGTAAAATGAGTTAAATGAACATTTTATAGCAATTATCAGGTAGAAAACTAAAGGAAAATTGAGAGCACTGAATAGTCTGTTTTTTAAGTTTCGATTACCTTAGTAGCATGCAGTCAATGGTCCCCTAGCTCAAGTCAATAACCGCTGAAACAAAAACAAAAATAACAAGGTTTTCTAAGTAAACTGAGTTTATGTTTTGTATGTGGCATAATCTCAACTGCAAATTGCCTAAAACCAATACAGTTAGTGCTGAAATTTACTCCTTTGTGAGTAAAATTATAGTATATTTAAATTTAGCCGGTCAGTTTATCTATATTTAACAACAGTCCTAATAATAATCCTTCACAGTGGTTAGCGGTGAAATCTAAGACACGCATTTTGTCTTCTTTGCCACTCACCAGCTGGATATACCTGCCACCGAGATAGCAATGTTGTTCCCACTAAGATTCGAACTCAGGATCCATCGCTTCAAACACCAGAGCGTTATCCCTTAGGCTACCGAGTCAGAACAGCCACTCCTTGTGCAACGGGTATCGTCTGTATGATATTGCTTGCACTATCCCGTCGTTGGCTGCACCTAGTGGATCGGTCTATATCGGCATATGAGCACCTATCCGGATGCGGCGATATTGTCTGTATTACCAGTTTTATATTAATGTTGGATAGTGGAGTGGAATACTGGGATACACGTTTCTTCCTTTTGGAGACTCGTTAGCTGGATGTATCTGGCTACAACTGGGAGGCAGTATCCAGTAGCCCATTCGTCAACAGAGACCAATCAGTTTGGTCCAGTCAACGACTGGATAATACAGGTAACATCATATACATACTTTATGTCAAAAATTTGAAGTGCGTAAGACGACAGAAAATGTTGTTAAGGTTTAATCAAAGAAACAGTAACCATTTGTTGTGATATTTTTCTGAGTATCGCTTAATTTAAATATCAGTGCCTCAACCAGTCCTAATATACGATTTTATTGTTCACATGTTAAGTTATTTAGTTGATGTTATTACCGAAGGGATGAGAACACTTAAAAGAGACAAAAAATATTAGTGGTATTTACTAGGAAAATCTATTTAGCCGTGTTAATATATTTCAGAGTGTTCGAAAAAAGTCAGAATATAGCCATCACTTAAATTTGTTGAATAAGAACTAAACATTAGTTCAGGAATATATGTTGTTACTTGTAACATGCAAGTAACTGACTGTTCTGTCTTCTCTATTCTACTAGGGGGATAGTATCAAAGCTGAAAGGCCTTATTGTGAGGAGGGCCAACTTTTAGTAAACCCATCCATTTAGAAAATATTCGTCTGCGTAAACATTCTTATTTACAGTCAGTGAGATATTACAAAGCGTTTGTTGAAGATCTTTATTGATGAGACGTATGATAAGTATGAATAAGGGCAGAAAACACTGCATCTCCTAGCTCTTTTTCATATACTAAAAATTTATTTGGTTTACACATTCCCGTTTTGCATACTGTTACACCGTTCTTCTACTACTATTTTAACATCGTGTATCCTCTAAGTGTCGTAGGTAATGATTTTTCTCACTGTAGAAGTTACATCTTGTTCCAAACATCAAAGACTAGCTGGCACATCCTTAAGCATTTAGTCCATAATAAAAAGCTTGATCCATAGAGTGCGGTCATGAATTAAAATCCAATGTTTATTGTATTGTTAGACTTCCCAAAATTTGATTGCTGGATCTACTTGTACAAACCCCATTAGCATGTAGTACTAACTCCAAAATAATGAGGTCTTATCACAACTTTGGTTTTCTCTGCTTTCATTTTACACTATCAGTTACAAAAAGAGTTCAATAATCCTGTCGTCTTTAGGTTATTACTGAAACAATACGAGCATAAGTTTCAGAAATATGCATAAGTGAAAACCTGCCTGATCAATTATGACGAAAGTGAAGTCATTTATCAGTCTGAATTCTCGCTATTCACAATTAGAACCTTCTAAGTTCTTTCACAATAAATAGTTTCGTTTGAAAACTCTTTTCATACATTCGGACACCTAAGAGAAGTTTATTTGATCCTGTTGTGATAACATTCAAGTAACTGAATGAATTATCCAATTAATCACCCAACTTAATTTAACCTAAAATGGACTGTATGGACTGCAAAGTGAACAATGAAAAAATATACATCAAGCTCATTATCTTACTACGTTAAAACAATTTTCCATTGAACGATCATTTGGTCAGTGGGTTAAGTATGAACCAGTCGACCTTCATGAGAAATCAAAGTGGTGATATACAAACTTCAGATTACCACCACAATTGTTCTTAGAAGAGCTTTCATTTATCATATAATGTTACTCAATACTTCAATAACAATAGATACTAAGATAATAGATCATTCTACTCTGTCAAATATCAGTGAACTATCGAAATTTATCACTGATGCAATTACGTATGCATCAAACGTCTAATTGAACAATAAATAAGGCTGAATGGATAGACTCACAGTAACTTTCTTTTTCTTTTATAGTAACAAAAGTTTATTAACGCATGAAACTTATAAAAATTTGGATGTATTGGTGATTTTGTCCAGACTGACGATACAGCACACATTTAACAAGGTTTTAGCTAAAAAAAGATACAGCCATCAGGAAATGTAAAATAAGCTATTTCAAAATCACTGTCTTAATGTAGCTGGAATTGCCAGTACCTTTATACTTGTGAAAAAGTTGTTATTATTACGATAGGTTGCTAGTACCGGAGGGGTTTAAGTACGGTGGCCGAAGACTATAGGTTACATAAATTGAACTGGTTAGCTGGCGTATGGAAATCATATATATTTCACTCCGATTAATTTCACTCACTAACTATGTAAGTTTTTAAAAAAGGGTGATAAATCTTCCTATGATGATCACAAGTGAATCAGTCCGACGAAATAGTGCCTAAGATCTTAGGTTCTATAATAATCATTTAACTCAATAAAGCCTGAGAACAGCAATCTTGGGAAAGCTAGGCAGTTATATGACCTGGTCATGCGTGTGTCATCCAAATGCTCACTCTTCATTAGGTTTTGGAACATAAGCACACTTATTGATACCAGACAATAGCTGCGTTTCACAACCTCAAGTGGGAATTTCATTATATTAATCAAAACGTCTTATGGTATTGTTTTTAATCGAAAGCAGTGGCTGGTAAGCACATCATTTTACTATATCCAAATACCAATAAATGTGGTAGAGCTTATGAAGAATTTCTACGCTAGTTCTATGCGTTTACTCATATCTGACCGATAGAGGCCTCTCTTTGTTTGAGTGAAGGAAGGTACTAGTAAAATCAGCATCATGGATACATTAACATATTTAAAATACTTGAACACTTCACTTACTCAGGAAGTCAGACAGGTATACAGAAGTCAATGATTTATGAAACTGTCACACAGATACAAAATCTTTGACTGGCTTTTGTCAACCTACTATATCTGTTGTGCTGTCGAGGTATCTGTTTGCGTAGACAGAGTAGACTGTACTGAACACCAGTTTGCTTTCTCCTACCATAAAACCACTTAAGATGGATATTCATGGTGAAAGACATGACAAAGCTCCGGTTATTTTTCTCTGTTGCCTTCGTAGGATTGGGCGAGTGTCGTGAAGTCATTAAGTTGGTAATGCATAGACTAGATCTAAAGCCTCGGGCAGAAGAAAGTAAGTTTAGTTGATATTAGTCGGTTGGAGGCAATCGGCAGGAAGCCCTGCACCCAGGTTTCGTGCTTTCTGGCACTCGTCAGCAAGTATCGAATATCTGCAACCTCGAAGGGGATTGATGTCCAGCCTGAGATTCGAAACCGTATCATCCAGTTTCATAGCCAGCAATTTTACCACTGAGCTATACGGGCAGAGACTGACCTCCCATAGGACTGGCTTAGATGTACTGATTGGTCATGGGAGTGCAACCAATTTCATATTGTCTAATCCTGAGTGCAGATCGAATTCTATTGATCATATTTGCAATGTGGAAGCTAGGAAGCTCAGAATCGCGGTGCACATTAGTAGACGTTAGTTGGTTTAACTGACGAGTAAATCTATGAAGAGTGTGTACACTGTGGAATGAATCAATTTATTTCGAGTCAATTCAAAACGAATGTCTACATAATTATTAGATTTTTAAACTGTATACGTAATGGAAACTTACAAATCTGATCACATTTGTAAACATTCACTTTCAATTCACTTATCACCAATTATTTAATGAGCTTTTAGGCGTTCATCTACTCGGATAGCTAAGATTTTTTATGTATACATTGTCATCCTCTATCTCAACGCGCTACGTTACTTGAAGCAGGTTTAGACTAAAAGGAGGTTAAACGCGACCAGAATGAAACATGAAACCAGTTCACGAAGTCTGTCATGTATTGGTTTGAACCAGATAGAGAAATTTAGTTTTCTCATTTGGTATCCATATGATAACCGTGCCCAATGGTTGAATACTGTAGGTGATGTGTTAAAATTGATTGCCTTGGAACAAATGCATCTACGTATTATCTTCATCTTAAATGCAATATCATATTTTATTGTAAGCTTTAACTCTTCATCTCTAATCATAAGTTTATAAGACTTTTAACCACGTTTCTTTATTTACGTGTCTTCCTGCTTGATTTTTTGCGCGTTGATGTACTGATTTGAGGTGTGGTTACTTCGACGGCTGTGCATCAACACACATTATTAACAAAGACATGTACATTTCCATGTACATGAAATTGCCACCTGAGATTCCATCATCTTTTACTCCAGTTGATAAAAATAGAATACAAGCTCATGTAAAAGATTCCATAAACATATAAAGATTTGCCACTTTTGGAAGGGACAAGACAACCCATTCCTACTCACTTTGGATGTTTGTTTAATTTTTCTCTGAAGTTGGCAAGTGTCTGATTGCAATAAAACCTAAGTAGTCGCATGTTGAGATGGAGATTGATATGAGATCTGTTTAACAGCATTTTACTACTCACCAGTGAGTAACTATGAAAGGTACACATTTTGAAATACAAATACTGGGACAAAATACACAACATCACGAATCACTATTGTTTCATTCTCTGTGGTTGCTTATTCTAATACGTTTGAACGAAAGTCAGTATCTATGATCTGTTTTAGTATAGATGTCACTTCTACAGTACTGACTAGTTTTAGTGTCGAAGTCAAAATTCTAAGCTTTCCTGAAAATGAAATATCATTCTTGGTTAACTTTGTCGTGCGTATATTATGTAAATTCTTAAAGTTGGTAGATTAGTCTTCCAGCAATTTTTCAAAACCTCTGATTCGTCTGTATTCATATAAGTTTAAATAATGAATTTCTTTTTAGCTTGGAATTCATCATAGACAGACATCAGTTGGAGGAACATTGGAAACCTGAGAGCATTCGACAGCTGTTTCGTCCTAGTATAGGACTCCCCAGCGGTGCGCACAGATGACCCAACCGGGGATGGAACTCAAGACCTTCAGGATCAGTGGCCAACCAGTTACCAGTGTCCAGTGCTCCCAGGTTTCCAATGTTCCTTCAAATGATGTCATTCCAGGATGAATTCCAACCTAAAATCAATAAATAAACTTCCACAAACTTCCAGATAAAATTCCTTATTATTTAGAAGTAAAAACTATTTGGAGTTGTTATACAACAAGAGACACACAATTTCACAGCGAACGATTAGTATTCATATTTAAAAAGCACAATGACTATACGAAGAGGAGTGAAAAAGGAGACTAAGTACACGTCTTTGAATTAATTTATATACCTTTGATATTTTAGATTTTGTTTATTTCCCCTGAAGAAGCTCAAACTAGACTTCCATGCATAACTCTGGAATTATTTTATTTCAAATACACTGTGACTTAGTAATGATGGATAGTGGCTAGCCGTTCAATCAAGGATGCGCATTTTGTCTTACATGGGACTCGTCGGCTGTATGCACCGAATTCCCAGTGATGCTGTTCCCACCGGGATTCGGACTCGGGGCTAACGTTTCAGACGTCAATCCTGGTGGGGACAGCATCACTGGGAAGCAGGTACATACAGCTGACAAGCCCCAAATAAGATGAAATGCGCATCCTGGACTCCGCTGCTAGCCACTATCCATCATTACTGTAATCAGAGAGCAGGTTATTTCGTGGCATTCGCACAGCAGCCCATATGCTAATAGAGACCGACCAATTCGGTCCAATCAACAACGGTATGATATAAAACAATTACACTGTGACTTGCACAAATACAAACTATATCCAGTGTCAATCACATTTATATTTAGATAGGTTAATACGGTTTGTTATGATTTTGTAGATATCAAGATCAAAGTTTGACGTGATACAATTGTTTAAGCGTTTTATAAATGGTTTATCAACGAAATATGTTTCGGAAATCCCAATGAAGTTAAAAAGCAGATGTTTAATGTATTTCAAAAAACTGTTTCTTTTATATATGGTGTATTTTATCAGCTGGTTGACTGAGGTAGTAGAAACTGCCAAGACAATGGATCGAAAAGAGTATAAAATGTACTTCGTTGCATATGCATTCTTTTAAAAGAGCACATAAGTATACTTATGATACGTTATATGTTGAGAAATAATATTGGTAAGAATATGGTTTAGCTACATCTATATCTGTTGACAGTAAGTTTCACATCAATATCCACATGTTTCCTCACAGATTAAAATAATCTGAAATAATAGCAACGCGGACTGCCTCTCTCTTTAACTGGAATTATGTCTCATTAATTTAACCAAACTATATTACAGCAGTATTTATAGTTAACATTAAAATCTCTTTTATGAAAACAAGGTAGGAATTGGTCTCTTGAAGCGGAAACACGGCTCAAAATGGGTCAGTTACTAGAGGACTCTCAATGCTATGATGATGCAATACATGTAGGTGATTTCTTTTAACATAATAATTTTTACTTTCTTATATCCCTTTAATGAATTCATCATCAACAAGTTGTTAAACTAGACATTTCATGATGCAGCTTTATGGGTTAGTGTCTTGACTTCTGAAACTTTTTAACAAGTCACGACGATTTAGAAAAAACAGTTGCATTTTTACTAATCTCAGGCATTCCAGAATGATGCATTCACTGCTTTAAAGAAATTTAGCCTAATAAATGCAGTTCTGAAATCCGTTTTACATATTTTTGCTTATGCTGCCTAATATGACGACACCTGTCATTTTGGGATTGTTTAGAGAATTTAAGCTGAATAAAGAAGCTGAAACACTAACTTCCTTAACCTAAGATACTCTACAAGGTCTTGTTCCAAGCATCTTCATCAGCAGATGCCTATGCACTAATGAATTTGGTGCAGATAAACAAGCTTCTAATCCTAATGATGAACAGTGGCTAGCAGTGAAATCCAGGACATGCGTTTTGCCCTCTTTGCCACTCTTCAGATGGGTGCATCTGCCTCTTAATGAGCAATGTTGTTCCCATTAAGATTCTAACCCGGAAACGTTAGCTTCAAAAGTCAGAGAGTTATCCACTAGGCCACCTAGTCTTAGAACCCACAGTTTGTGCGACGGGCATAGTTTATCCCGTCGTCGATCTTACCAAATTGATCGGTTTCTGTTGGCATATAGGCTCTTATCTGGATGGATCGATATTACCTGTTATTTCAATTTTGTATTAGTGACGGATAATGGCTAGGAATGGAATTAAGGACTCGAGTCTTAGTAGGGACGAAGTAGCTGACTGAGCGGCCATCCATAAATGTCATAAAAATGGAATGACAGTCGATATCGAATCATTCACATAAGAGCCCATATACCCACAGAGACCACTAAATTCATTTAAATCATCAACGGGATAATACAAGTAACAGAATAATCTATACTAACCATTTGAAAGAAATCCTGAATATCTTATTTTTCCTTCTTGTTAATTTCCATAATTTTTTGTCTCAGTAATATACCATAGTTCGAAAATGTGAACTGATATATTTCTGTGTGGATCATAACTTTCTAAAGTATTGCTGCGAGAAAATACTTCCCTTCACAATGAAATTCCAGCTTACCCATCTGGATCATCGATCATTAATATCCTAGTCTCGTTGGTCCGTTTCCTTACTCCCCATCAATGGATCAGATTTCTGAGCCAAAATGACTATAACTGCAATTTAACATAAATCACAGACACCGATTTATGGCTTTTTGGGGAAATTTAATTTCTCACCGTAACAATAACAGCAAACTATTGATTTGATGTGATGAACCATTTCAATTTCACAAACTGATGTTTTTAGCTTCTATCTCATATTCTGAAAATAGGTAAATCGTCTACAGTCTATATAAATTTGATTCACTTTGTTCATGGACACTGATGCCTTCCACTAAGACAGTCACCTGCATAATGTGCTTCGCTTCCTCTTCTGCTTCTATCATGACTTGCTCTGAATACGCCCACATGGTCTGTTGCATTCATCTGGGCAGAATATTTACGCATCACAAGTAATTGTCGATGATTTCTGTCGACCTCTCAACATATACTACTTATATACATTATGATCAGCACTGCCCACTACAGTAGTATTGAACTGAAAAATGGCTGAGTCCAGTGAAATCGACCGAAGTACGATTTCTGTCAGTATAATGAATTTGTACGAAGTACAATGCCGTTATTCGTATCTCAATCCACTTCAAAATATTCGCAATATGTAAACGTTTCTTCTACTTGTTGATTACATTTACCTGGTTGTGGATTACGCATCCTGAAGGTGTTCTATTGTTGATTATACAAATAACTCCCTACATGTCAATTATTTTCGATATTTCATACATTTTAACCGCAAAAGTGATTCTATATAGACGATATTTATCCAAAATTATATAACAGAGCGTTGTTGCTTCAGTGTTGTGTAAAAATTTAATTTATCAATCATAGTTTGTTTTTCTTGCGTTTATTACTGAAGATATTCACTGTATTGTCATATTTCTTCAGCATTATCATGAATATTTTGAAGCTGCTAATAAACACGATGATCATATTGGTCTAGGAAAAGCTTGTCAAGCTTTAGCACACTTATTTCAAAAGTAAGCTTTTCATATTGCTTAGTATGTTATACTGTGAAAAGGAATTTGTAGATTTATATTACGTGATTGGATTCTATTACTGGCTACTGATACATATTTAAGCAAAAAGTGAATACATATACCAATACAAGGAACCTTATCAATTCATACATGTAGACTAATAAAATAAAGGTTGGAAAATTCGACTAACAATCCGATATCACTTGAATAAAGTTTTTTAACTCAACAGTCTAAAAGAAGTTCAAAACAAAGTGTGTTTACTTTATTTCTTGCTGAAAAGCATAGACACGTTTAGGTCCAAGTACATTCAACCTCTGAGTCCTAAGTAGGACGAAACTTGCCTTCCTAATTTCAGTATTTGTCACTACCAAATATGCATTAACTTCAGAGACTTGGCTCTTTCCATTAGGAGAATTAATATCTAGGGAAATCATGATTTCATAAAGTGAACTCGGTTAGGATACAGACTAATTTGGTGGAGTGTTTACTTAAATAACATTACGAGTGTAGGTCAATTTTATGTCTTTGGTCGGACGTCATTGCCACTGATAATGACTGATTTTAGCTTCAAATGGGATTTCTTTTCTCCTTTGATTAGCAGTGCAAGAAATTACCAAAAGCTGGTTCTATCTTCTATGATTGCATCCAATGACTTTAAAGGCCACCCTGACAACAACTGAAATGACCAATCAGGCTTTGCTATTCAGCCTGGAAAACTATTTTTCCATATGATAAAGGAATGTAATTGGCTGTCTCATCAGTTGCTAAGGTGGCCTTAAAAATCCTTTGATTGCATCGGATTGCTACACTTAAGTTAGATCCTATACCTCCTAGTGGCATAATGTTACTCAGAGAGGAAACAGGTGTATTCTACCAGCCCATAATGGACAATAGTGTACCTCACAGAATAAGCAAAAAAGGTACAAGGCGGCTCAGTTAAAAATATCAACGAATGACAATTGAAGACAATGAAGTTTAGGTTATTGGCTACTGATTTATAACACTAGATTGAATAACTTATTGATTATTTTACCTCTTTTACCTGACCTCCAGTGAATGTACTTTATTGCGTAGATTACTCCAGTCTAAACATTATTTTAAGCATGTTATTTACTAAATGTTAACGCTACTTTTTAATTTTTTCCCATTCGACGCCTCAAAATGGTCAGAAAAGTGGGTCACAAGGTGAAGATTTTCATTCTTTGCATCTTCTGACTTAAACATTTTCATGGTTAGTTTTTCACTGATAAAGTAGAAAATATTATTAGCACAAACTGTTAAATAGCATTATACTATACTCCTTTTATTGGTGAATTATTTTTTGTATTCTTGCAGTCGATTATTAGTCCTGCTCCTAGAGCCATACTTAACTAAATAATACTGTATCACTGTATGGGATATCAAATAAACAACCTCATATTGGAATTACACTGTATCATGGTGTCCAAGTTTTGCTTTTACACCAAAACCTCAATTAACCTTTTAACAAATGAGAACTGTCTGCTTGCGACCGCAAAGATTCTGAAAATAAGCGCTTTCTGCTATTCAATACAAACTGAAGATGTTTACGATTCATATGGAGTAATGAGAGTCGAAACTAATAGAATGGACCATCACATCTGTCAGTTAAAAGAAATTTTTTTCGGGGCATGAAAATACTCTCGAGTGACATTAAATTTACTGAGCCGAAAAAAAAGCGAAAACTTTTCTAAATCACTTCATTTTTCAGAAATCAATATAAAATTTACTTTCTAAAATATTTGTGCGTTTTTCATCTTTGTAGACAAAATCAAATGAAAGAGGCAATTACTTATTTGCACAAATTTGCAACTGTCTGTGAAAAACATGGCCAATGGGGAGAATTAAGCAAGGCATGTCAGTTACTAGGTACAGCATACGATTCAATTGGTGAATATGCTTGTGCATTGAAATGGATGAAAAAGGCCTATGATCTTCCTAATATGATTCCTGTAAGTTATACAAATAAAGAAATGTGGTTCTATTTTTAGCAGTAAATCTTGAACTATTATTGTCATGATAAAAATTATCACCTTTATTTTCATTAATGTCTCTGTGTTGTGTATAACAGTGCTGTTTTCTTCAAAAGCAGAACGATCTGTTAACTACTATGGTTCATAAAGGTTGCCCCAAGTGTACTTAACGGAAGAAAGTTAATATTTTCGCCATGAAATCAAAGTCCTTGGTTCGATCGAAGTTAGGGACCGATGCAAATTTCCACACTAAGAAAAGCAGTTGTATGATACTCCCTAAAATGGACTTCTTCTACTACTGGGTTCTGTAATTATCTTACGGACGCATTAGGCATACGCTTCCTTCAATACAGTCTTTTATAAGTTAAAATATTGTTATGTGTCCAACTATTTTGTAGGCATTAATTCCACTACATACTACACAAGTAGTTTATCCACTCTGAAAGGTCATGTTAGAATGACTCAAGATGAATAAGCAGGAAAACAGCGTTGTTACTAAAACTAAGATCAAAAACTGAAAGTGTAGACTCTATATTGACATGCTTTCATGAAATTCAGAGAGGTTAATTCACTATTATTATTTTTTGTCTCTTGGGTTCCTAGTGGAACATAAGGCTTCAGTAGCACGTCATCATTTCATTCTCTTCTCTCTAGTCTTTTCAACCTGGCCCCACCACTGCCCACAAGCTCTCATTTCTTCCTCACAGGATTTCTTCCATGTCACCCTCACCCCGGATGCCCAACTCGCTGTTTTCCATTTGGATTCCACTCGAGGGCCTGGCGCATGACATTCCCAGTAAGCCTTCTCAGTGTATGTCAAGTCGAAACTATCTTCACTTCCTTCTGCATATTCGTTGGGCGATAGGTTATTGGTTGGTTCGTTCCCGCAGTTCCTTGTTGCTTATTCTTTCTGGTTATCTGATCTTCAGTAGGGAGTGAGCATAGGTGGCAGCTTTTCATGTGCTGTATGTCTGTAGTTTGTTGGAAATGCTTTTCTTAACGCACCATATCTCTCAACCATCATATACTAGCACTGACTTGACTGAAATTAGTGTTAAAAATCCGAATCATGTTCACGCTTCATGCTGAGTGCAGAAGATCTTCACAGTGATTTCCGGTTAATGAGGCGCTGTCTTTCCGGTTCTGGCTCTGCCATCCTCATCTGTGCCGCCACCACCTAGGTAGGTAGGTGAACGAGACTACTTCCTTTGGGTTTCTCCCAACGATGGTGATTGGTGCTTGTTGTCACTGTGGTGGTTGATTAAGAGTCTTCATCACCTCTGTCTTCTCTAAGTTCACCTGAAGGAAGTCTCGTCTTCACTGCCCTGCCTACTTTGCTAACTTGTTAGTTTTCACCTGTAGATCTCCGAGTTTGTGTGACATTAGACATAAATGATCATCGGCGAAATCCAAATCTTCCAGAGTTTTTTCATCGGTTTAGCCAGCATATGCCCCTATTCTCGCTCCTCACAGTTTGTCCCGTCCAGTGAACTACAACCAGAAAGGTCATCAGTGATAGTAGGCGCAACCTTGTCTTACTCCTGTCTTCACTTCAAAGGCATCACTGAGCTTTCCATTGTAAATCCCTTGGCATGCGGCTTCTTCATAGAGCTGGTGAATGAGGTTGATAAAGGTTTGCGGCACTAAAAGCGTAGTGTTGAAGCAGCTGCCAAGTTACTTCTCGGTCGATGCCTCAATCGAAGGCCTTTCCAAAATCGATGAAGTTGAGACAAGGTAGAGAGTTGACTGGCATTCTGTGCTTCGTTCTATGACGATGCGCGGCGTAGCGTTGCAATTTGATCCTCACATGATTTGTTCTTCCTGAAGCCAGCTAGCCAGTCAGTTCCGGTCGTATTTTTCAACCGAGAGCTTATTTTTGTCTCTCCAGGATGATGCGGCATTATGTTTTGCTTGGGGTGGACAGGAGCATGATTTTGCCTCAGTTCTTGCAGTGACTTACGTTTCCCTTGTTCGGGAGTTTGACAAGGTACCTCTTCTTCCAATCAGTGTGAAGGTACATTTCTTTCCTTCCAAACCTTCTGCAGTAGTGGTGTGAGCATGTCCACTGTTGTCTTCTGAGTCTGTTTCCAGTGTTTTTGGCGGAATTACATCTGGTGCTGCTGCCTTCCCGCATTTCAGTAACTTTATGGCGTGGCGTTCAGGACTTCACTTCTGCATTTGTTGGAGGGTTTGTGTTCACTGGTAGTTCTGTGTCTAGGCTGCTGGTGATATTTCTTGACTAGTTGCAGGTGGTGGTGGTTGATTCGAGAGTTTTTGAAGTGGTCAGCTCATCGTTTGCTTTGTTTCTCCTCTTTGGTGTTAATCAAGTTTCCTTCACTATCTTTCATTGGTTTAATCTGGGTTGATCTCTTTTCTCACAGATAGTGACCTGGTTATTTGATATAATATTGTCAGATCTCTGTCTCCCTAACCTGCTGTCTGTCCTGCTTCTCTTGTTTTTCCGTGCACTCTTCTTCACTTTCTTGTCCATTGTTTTATAGTTTGTATTCAGTTCCTCCTTTCGTTGTTCATCCTTGCACTGCACTTCGCTGCACTGGTTCATCTTCTGCTTCGCCATCTTCCTCTCCCTGCTCTATCAGCTTCCATGTGTCCGTCGAGATCCATTCATTGTCTTCTTTCTTCTTCCTTCCTAATACAGTTATGAAGGTTTCTTTCAACATTTCTTTCAAAGAGTTTCAGTGTTCTTCCACACGGGTTTTTTCAGGGATATTGCCTAATATCTCCCGTCTTTTCCTGATGGCTGACTGACCTGAAGATTTTCTTTGAAGTTTTGCCCTTCAGTCTCAGTTCTAGGCGTTCAACTTCAACTGTGGTATATCATCACCAACTTCTTTCAAGGCTTTCAACTTGGTTTTGCAGGTAGGTTCCGTGCACTAGATAGTGAGTGGTATGAACCTACATCTGCTCCCCTTTTTGATCTGATTTTGTGTCCAGTAGGTTGCGTCTCCACTTTCTTCACATTCATATGAAGTCGATCTGCATTTCAGTGTAGTGTATCCATCTGCTGTTTGGTGAAATCCATGTCGCTGCCTTGTGAATATCCTTCTGTTTGTACACACTGCCTACAATCACCAAGTCGTTGAATGTGCAGAAATCTGCAAACATTTCTCCACTCTAATTCATGTCGCCGATTTGTCCTCTACCTGAGTTGTCTGCTCCCAGTTTAGCATTCATGTCGCCCCATTTGGGATCGGGTTTTGTCCAGTACTGACTGCAGTTGTCTGTAGAATTTCTCCTCCTTCTCTTTATCTGCACTATTTGTGGGTGCGCAGCGTAGCACTATATGACTATGACTTCCTTTTGAGTTGAATCCTGCTGTCATGATCCTGATCCTGCAGTAAGAGATTGGTTCTCACTACATGAGAGAGAGCTTTCGATGATCTTGGGAGGAGGACATCATGAAAGCAACTCCAAAACTCAGTGTGCCGATGATTGTCGTATGGGTGTTAATATTGGAGTAGATTATTGACTGCTTTCCAGTTGACAATTTTGAGATTCCACTTCCATTCCATCTGCAGATCTCTCACAAATTCCCGGCACTTCTATACTATAATTTCTGATCTCTTTTGCAATCTGGGTAGCATTGCCGGCCAGCCAGCTTTACACATTGTGCAAAACATTCCATGTCCCCATTCCTACTTTCGTTTCACAGAGAGGTAGAAGGTACACGGCACAATTGGCTTTCCGAAGGCTTTCAGCAACCGGCATCATTTCGTTTCTCCGATTCCAACTAGGAATAGGTTCATATTTATTTTTCGTATTTTCTTTGTATTTTGAAATTTCTTTAGCGATTGGATTGGTTTTACAGGACAGGATTGCTAGCCCTATGCCCAACCTTCCCGCTTTATCCGGGCTTAGGATAGGCTAGTAACTAGTGGACTAGTAAACTAGGTGACGTTGAAGTTCCGTTGACGAATCTGTAAAATCATTTCAGTAACGTCTTTCTAAATTATATTGTTTCCTTAGCTTTGCTCCACTGGATGCCAAAATGAGTTTTTATCGTTTTCTAGTTGTGTAGCTTTTTCAGTCAGATACACATAACTTGCTGATGCTAAGGTGTACAAGTTCTTCAACTGTCATTGGCGTAGTTCCGTTAAGACATGGGTGCGGTTTTCAGATAAATGATACTTGACGGGGTTCAGTTTTATCTTATTAAACATACAACTAACTTATGCAACAGAACGATATGTACATGTTGAGCGATACATTTATTTGGTTCTGCTATAAACAAATTTCAGTTTATGCTTTGGCTATGCTGCATATATGCATTAATTAAATAATACTTCGGAGTATTTAATATTGTAACAGTCAGTTGAGTGTAGATAATAATTTTCATTTTCACTCATTTCTAATTAGAGTCTGAAACAGAACAAAAGTGAGATGATCATGGAATCTGCACGTATCATGCTTGGTGTCTCAAGAGCTCATCTAATGAATGGGATGTTTATAAATGCAATAATAAATAATACACCAAGAACAATATTAAAATTAAGTCATTGGAAGGCATATCCTAAGGATGAAAACCAACTGTTTTCTTTAGAAGACTGTCGAATTATAAGTAAGCAAAATAATCATAAAATTCAATATTTTTTCATAAATTTTTGTATAAGCCTAATAGAGCTGCTCAACTTCGTACTTTTAAAAACTTACTGTCACATGGTGACTGACAGAAGCTGGTATATGGTTCAGTTGTTATGTAATCATGGTTTGTTAAGAATCGGAAGGTGCAAAGCGTTTGATCCTGATTAAGGGGAAGAGTTTTCACATGTTCCCTTTTAATCCTGATACTCTTACATCATATCCGAATTTGTGTTAGGAGTGTATACTAGTGAGGAAACAGTTGGCCAGGGCTTTCGATCAAGTATCTATTGGTGTGTGTTTATACAGATTCATATTTTCGTTTATTTGTTAGTAACATGAATGTAATTTACCATGGAAAAAATCTAAACTTCCGAAAGTAAACTTATTCCCTTTGAACTAGTGTGGCTGTCATTACTTGTTCGGTAATGAATAATATTCCAGTATGTGAAGTTATGAATACCTAATTCATCTCTCAAACAAAAACGCCAGCATGAATCTAGTAGATCAGACTGATGATTCCTGAAGGAAAATATACATGCATCACGGTCCAATCATCAGATAATACAACGGAAACCAGTTAGCATCAGTTTCTGCTTAACGATCTTAGTTGACCTTAAACATAACAGCAAGTCGAATGACAATGCATCAACATAAAGGAGAAAAGGAGTAAAGGAATAAGGAGTAAAGCAGTCAAGAGCAGTAGAAAGTTGTTAAAATAAGACAAATCAGAATGACACAATAATGAAGTTCGGCATGACGACTAAGATGAAAATAATACGTGCCACTGGTATCGAACAATATCACCGGTTTCTGTTATCAGGCAGACTTCAACTGGGAAGTGTATATGTCTGTATACGAATCAGACCAAGGGTCGAATAATTCATAGACTGCTGTGATGTTTTGATATTACCGATTATAACCTTTTTCAGTTACACTTGGATGTCTACCAACTATAAAACCTAGAATCTAAGGTGCTGTTCCCATCAAACTGACTACACCATGGTGGTCACAACGGGCGTTTCTACCTTTGTTGAAGACTACAGCTATCGGTGATTGACACGAATCAGATTCCCATACTTTACGTAACACTTCAGTTAAACTGACCAGTAATCCTAGGCCACTGTCCTAAAGTACCCGTTTTAATAGAGCATGTGACCTGCTATCGTTCCTCATTTCAGGTTACCCTCTGCCTTTTTAATTTCAGCTAGAGTTTCGAGGCCAATCTCATTATTCCATTCAAAATCCTGTTGGATGGTGAGCAACAAGACAGTAGCTAGAGGTCAGTTGAACTGTTCCTCAACGATGCAGTCAAAATGCTCAGATATTATCCATATTTAGATAGTAGTCTTAAACTCGAACCCTTATTCCATACATCTGATTGATTCCGATCATTTAAAATATATCCGCATCACTTATGAAATACCTGTTTGGTTGTAGAAGAAGAATAGAAAAAGAAAAATCAATCTTCTTACAAATAATTTATCATTTCAATCAGATTCTCATCAAAACCCCTCATCTCAGTAAACCACACTTTCACTAATACAGTGAAGTCAGACTAATTGATTGATTTCATTGTAAGATTACATTAGGGTGAATTCGAGAATATGCCATGAATAACAGTCAAAACTTATGTGTAATAATAGGTAATAAAAGAATAATTTCTAACTTATAATGATACAGGAAAGGATTTGATGTTGGTTGAGCTGTATGAATACAGTTTAAGTGGTAAAAAACGATGGAAATGGATTATCATACAGCAAAGCTGAATTAAACTGTGAAACAAATTTAAGATAAAATATATAACCAATTACTTAAATGGCTTATTATAACCTGGTACTGATATAAGAAATAGTTGAAAACTTGGATGTTCAACTCTGAATACCATTTTCACTGGTGGTTCTATTTCTTGAAATTAATGATACAACGATAGCAGATTTATTTTACGTATAAAAAATTCTGTACCCATAAATCCCTGTGACTTTCTGACCGATTTCTAGAATGAGTTACATCGGTGATTTTCTGAAACTGAAATAAACGTCGACGCTACACAACCTACCACTTACACCATCCGGTAATAATATAAGTTTGATTTCTTTTCCTACGCCATAATCATCGATGTAGTGGTTTACAGATGCCTATAAAGTGTCATTATTGGTTATTTGGAATGTAGCAAGCAACTCTCATATCATACTCATCTTTCATAAGTGTTACTTTATGCTGCAGTGAAGTTTGACGAAGATCTGATTAAAAAAATGACTGATTAACTCATACCTACTAGTATTGTTGAGGTACAAGATACTTTCTAAAGGAACAGTTAGGAATTGTTGTTTATTGCTGTAGTTGTCTTTCGTTTCATGGATACTTTTTAAGATAATTTATTTTAATATGCTGGTTTCTGATACGTCTTTAAAATATCTTATTGCCTTATAGGTAAACAGTCAGTTGGCAGAAAACCTCATAGAGATGTGTTGGCCTGTTCAAAGAATCCAGTGAGTGGATTCATTCATGATATATTTCATTGAATGCATAACAACAAAGAAAACAGAAAATTAAAGAAGTATAAAATCTTATTCTCTTCATTCTATTCACTCTTTGTTGAATACATAAGGGGAAAGTTTAACAAAGATAAAAGTAAAATTTAGTGGAATGAGAACAAATATTTCGATACTCAACTTGGTTTTTGCGTTTTTCATTAGAATAACCAGATAAGACTATTAATTATGCAATAATATTGATGAGGTAACTGTTTTGATAATGACTTGAGTGGAAGTATCTCTAGTCAACAAAGGAGAAGAAATTGACAGCATTGAACGATCGTTATCATTATTATTATTGTTTGAAATAATACAATGTTACGGCTAGGTAAAGATGATTATCAGTCTCCTCTTCCCATTCAGTAATTTTCTACGACACAACCATCTGTCTACCTTCCTGTCTCTCCCACTTCGTGTGTGTGTATGTGCGTACGTATTCTTGAAGAAGAATCATAAAACATTCCTGAGGTAACAAAGACTCAAATTAAGGTAAACGACTGTTAAGAAACTCCTATAGAATTCAGTGTGGGTCATTCCATTTTTTGTCATTATCTCATGTAAAAATATTCAAAACAAAAAAGTATGATGATAAGGTTATATAAGTGATCATAATCATACTTAGGTATTGAGACTATCTTCCTATCGTATTCCATAAGAACATCAAAATGAGTGATTAAATTTGAAAGGCCAACCAAATGAATAAGATAACATATAAAGACTTGTACTAAAGTGAACTATTCTAAGTTTTGATTACTATCAGCAGAAGAGAAACAGAAAATCATTGTCATAACTAGTAAACTCGACCTAGACACAGATATCAGCCAGTAGCGGAGAAACAAAGGTGTAGTAATAGAGTTATCTAAACTTGGTAAATATAGAATTAGTGCCTGCGGTGCGTTATTACTGATGAAGATTCGTGCACCCTTAGGTTTGTAATGCATGTCATAAATAGGAATCCCGCCAGAATAAATGTACTTTGCTGTGTAACTAAGACTTATAGGGATTGCATGAGTTGACACAATTTCACAGTCTAGTTACCTTTTTCTAAACCTCATGGTAATTGTTTAGGTATCCAGAACCGACGTAGGTGGTTACTCCACCTGTATGATAGAAATTGTAGTCTGCTTAGTTAATAAAAAGCTCTCTACCTCACCTATCAGTTTACTTATGGATTTATTGCTCGGTAGATACAGCGCGTACGAATATCAGTCGTTTACCGACTGTAAACCTATGTTTCCGGCTTTCTGAGTTACTTAACTTCATCCGCCTCACGCTAAGGCTGTAGGACAACACTGTGTGTACTTCTGCTCAGTATTCCCATTCACTAAGTGGCACTGAGATGCCTCATAAACTCCATAGATTACTCAGGTCAGGAAATCTCAGTCGAACATATAAGTAACTGAAGCCAAGGTCGACTATTAGAGCAGCATGGGACCTGGAATATTTGTAGATCATTTTATATGAAAAAAAACTGTTTGGTGAGTTGAAAAACTGAGATGATTTACTTCGTAGCATGATCGTTATTTAGTGTCATTGTTTAATCGCTTTGACTGTAACACATCAATAAAGTAATATAATAAATAAGGCTTTCAAGTCATCGTCTAGGAACTTCCGGTCTAGTTGACGCCGTTAGTTACAGATGCTGTATAGGTAAACAGTCACATTATCACAAGTTACTTGAAGTTAACGGTAACAAACGTTCAAGTAGTAACCGCTACTTAGACATTAGTGTGGTCAGCTTTTGAGCTCGAAGCTTGCAAGTTCCGCATTGTAGGAAGGTATTACAGATCACCTGTCTATGGCCTCATAAAACCAACTGAATCGGCTGTTTTCACGGGACTTTTATATAAACAGTATTGTGATTGGGATAATAGTTATCTCTGGCTAGTTGACTGAAAATCAACTTACTAAGACGTTTACTAGTTTGTTTACAGTTTTATGCCTACAAGGTATTTATATTATATGCTAATGATGGATAGCAGCTAGCAGTGGAATTCGGGGCGGACATTTCGTCCTATTTGGGACTCATTAGCTGGATGTTCTTGCCTCCTAGTGAGTGTTGTTGTTCCCACTGAGACTCGAACTCGAGACCGATCGCTAGCTACTATCCATCATTATTATATCATTAAAACAGTGGCAATATCGAAGCATCTGCGCAGTAACCTATATGTTAATAGAGACGGATCACTTTGGTCCACTGAACAACAGGTAATACAAACAACAATATTATTTAGACTGTGGCTTATCTTCATAAAGTAACTTGATGAAATTAACTCTCTGGATAGTTGTAGTAGCTGCTGTTTTCGTTATATTAAAGAATGTATATACTGTGACACAAAATTTAACATTTTCGGTTCGATAACGCATCGTACAAGGTGTAATATTAATACTTAACTTACACAAAGTATCCTCATTATAAAGGAATTCCTTATTAGTAATCACCAAATGAAAACTCCAATCAATGTAAACCCCTCATATTTGTAAATCTTTTGATATAGTTAACAAATGAATAATTTTCTGGAATTCTAATCACGAGTTTTACCATGCTACTATATAAAAAATGAATAATTATCAGTTATGATTCCAACCCATTGCTGCAGAACAATTCATATTATGACCAAGTAAACATGAAACCAGTCACTTTGAGAGAGTTACATCATAACTAACATGTATCACAATCGATACCTTACTTAGTTGCTTATCATAATGATAATAATAGTAGTCACTTTATTCCACTGCTAGCAATGATATATTCCAAAAAAATTATATATGTATACATATAATCTGTTACAATATTTCGAATAGTGTTATTATAAAAATTTAGGTAATGTAAAGAATATTAATAACGCAGAAATTTCACACTGTTAATTAAATTATTGTTACAAAGTTGATATGTGAGTTCTATTCTAACAAAAAAAGTGCCTGCTAGGAAAAATACCGCCGAATGCTTGTACTTAGCTTTACGAGAGTACAGTGTGATATAATTTCTTCTTGTCCTTCCTTAGCAGATAAAAGGAGATAGCTTGGAATAAAGTAGATGCTCAGTGTCAGTTAAAATTACTATGCTTGGTTTCCTGCTAAAATTGAAATGTCTATCAACTCCATTAATCAGTTGGGCCAGAGGAACAGGATTCACTCTACTGATGATTTTCCAAGCCCTACGCAATATAACATAGCCTTTTTTCGTAGATCAGGATGATCAACGGGAATAATAGAGAATAATAGGTAAAACTCAGGCATTAAAAAATTATAAAAGAAGAGGTTGAGTTATGCTAGGGAGTCTCAGTTTTTTTATGTAATTCGTTAAAGCGAAGATTTTCACAAATCAACAATATAAAAACTCTGCGATGAAGAAAGTATTCGAGATGGAATAACTAATCCACTTCTGTTTTTTGGAGTAAACTAATTATTAAGTACACAGCATGTTACTGTTTATGTATTGAGAATCTAATTGCTAGCGTGACTGTCTGCCGAAGATAACTCTGATCAGATGATGCTACAAAGGAAAAGTGCACCATCATCCGTGGTCTGCTTAGTAGGAACGGCTACCCGGACAAGTTTGTAACTAAGCATATGAATATTATGGGGGTTAAGAAAAGAACGCCAACAGTTTCTAAGAAGCAAATCTTCTTGAAGCTGAAATTCAAGAGTGACATTGTAAGTGAGATCATCACACAGCACATAAAAAAGTCTTGTATAAAACCTTTGCAGCCGCTAAATTATGACCCACCTTCTACAACGGCAGGATTCTAGCTGCAAGAAATAAAGACAAACTGCCTGACTCTGCCACTTCCATGTGCATTTATCAGTTCAACTGCTCCTGTGGAGCTAGTTACATTGGGCATACAATGAGGCAGTTTCATCGTCGAACTTCTGTGCACCACCCAACATGGTTGAGCAAGGGACAAATTGGAACAATAAAGAGCTCCATACTTGCACACCTGGTTGACACGGGACATCAGGTGGATTCTAGAAAAGCTTTTAAAATCATCCATAAGATTCCAATTAATTTACCACATGGATTACACACAGGGTTACTTCACATAGGAGAGGTGGTTGCAATCCACCTGTAAAAACCTAACCTTTGTATTCAAAAGAAGTTTGTTCGACCACTTTCATTACTGTGACCATCAGCGTGATGTAACTTCTAGGATTACTTTGTATACCTCTTTCCCTTCTTGTTTCTATCAATATTCATTTGTTTGCTCCTTGTTACGTAATCGGTAATTGTGAATGACTGGAAACTCATCAAAAATCGTTCCATTTACCAAAGAATAGCTTGCTTCATATTTCCAAAACATCACCATGTGATTGGTAATTTGAGTAAGTTGTAAAACCGTATATTAGTATAGAGACCAAGATGAAGACCTAATTGAAAAGGAATATAATTTTCTAAATGGGAATATTCAATGTACTAAATATTTTCTATCTGTTTTTATATGTATTTATGCTTATTTCATTTTGCTGTGTATATGTATACACTGTTTCCGTCCAACTGATACCATTTGATGTGCTGAAAATTCTGTAGAGTATTCCTGAAGTACCTTTTAGAATAAAGCCATTGTTATTATTCAAGTAGTGGCAGCATGTAAAGTACTTCTTCCATGTTTGTAAGCAAAGTGTTTCGGATTTTTAAAAACCTTTAGTTAAGGTTCATGTACAAGGAGAAGTAATTTCTTCGTTCTCTTCAAAAAAGGGGAAGTTATAGTGATGAGTCAAACTTAACATGTGGTCCAGAAGATGGCTTAGGCACAAGTACAACTTTGATCTTCTTCTAAGTAGCAGGTATCGCGTTTTTAGAAAACAATACATTGAAAATATCTGTAAGAGGGTGACATAGATCTGCTCACTCTCTAAATATAATACTCAAAACACCATCAGGACCTAGGCTTTGGGATGGATTCAAGGATTTAAGACATTTTAATATTTTTATTGAAACGAGGAATGCAGCTAACCATTTGACTATGGACACTAGGTAGGATGAATTCAGCTTGCTGATGCATAAATGACTTAGTTAACGTGCCTGCATCCAAAAAAGCTTGTTTTTTTGTTTTCTACCAGTAAACTTTGTAAATAATTTCCACTTGTTGAAAGAG